ATATTGTTCTAGGGTTAGAACAGAATTCCATACCTTCCTGAAGAGCTTGTGCTAAAGGAACGTTGTCTAGTGAGCAGCTTGGAGCAATTTATCTAGATTTACCGAGTTGCCGAATACTTCCAAATACAAATACAGGACATCTATGCTTGCCCGATTTATGTTACTCTTTGTGTCTCGTGTGTTTCCTCCTGCGTTCGCGTGCCGAGGTATAGTAGCGTGACTTGTCGATTTTAAGTTCCAACAACATGCACGCAGTCATTGGGAAATTTTGGGCCCTTGTGAGGGGGTGGGAGGCGGTCTTAACAAAATCGTTGTGCGGGCGCAACGAATCTCCACGACGCAGGGTGTTTTGTCGTAGCTCAAACTCACATATTGTATGCCAAGATAAAAGACAAGCGAATTGCGTAGCACATGCGTTGCTGTTTGATCGAGAGGCGGCGATGAACGCGCATGGTTCGCGGGAATCGGCAACGCGGCAGCGAGCGGGAGTAGAAGTATTGAAGCGCGTGTCTGCAGGGAGACCGTGGCGCGTCAAATTGGAGGCCATGGTGCACGTCTCAAGCAGCGGTCAGCGCTGGTGCTGTACTTTCCGAAGATACAATGGATTATAATAGTGGACTCGATATTGTCGGTAATTTTGGAGTATTATAAAACAGTAACGTAAAATCGCGCGGAGTGTGATGCTCCAATTAGGCTGAATAAAAACGATTAGAATCTTAATATCAACGAGAGAGAGAGAGTTACAATGCTACTGATAGGGGGCACATTCTGTCCACGCACTGACCTCCTGCAGTTCTGCACTGTCTCTCTCATACATAAACATGGTTCACAGGCAGCTACTACTTCTAGACGATCTGCAGGCCGATATTCCCGCGAAGCGCAAACTGCGCTGGCGGAGCAGCGCACTTTTATCTGGAATCGCCTGCAGCTGTTTTAGAACACTGTTCGACAGTGCCGCTTTGGAAGGGATAAAGCACTAATAATTCGGTCAATTGAGGAGTTGTAGCGATTTTTCCACTAACCTTTCGATCTATGCACGTAGGGTCGAGAATGAAATACAGAATGCTCGTTAATTGCTCGTTCTTGGCTGGTCGGCGCATTTCTTTTCCTCTAGAAAAGCGAGTTTGCATTTTCTTCCGTTTCATCGGCTCGTGAAATTGACATCCTCGTACATAGCGCGTCCCATAGATGGCGCGACCGAGGCCGCTGTACGCGCATTTTCAAGGTATTTTTTTCACACAAGGATCGGCCGATTGAGGCTTAGACTGCGTACGCAGTGGAGATTCGCACACGTCTGCACTAGACTATAATGTGTTAGTGTAGCGAAAGATAGCTTGGCCGAGTTAAGGTCCGAACCCAGTCTACTTGCAATCGTTTTGACGTGCGCTTCAACTTAGCCGTATGCATCTTAGTACGCCCCGATGGTCTGATTGTTTCCGATGATTGGACGTAAATATTTCGAGGCATGTAATATATAGCAGAGCAGAGTGCGATAATAGCATAGGCCTCTGCATAGAGTCATATAGCATATGAGCATATCTTTGTTTCGTATATTATACATAGCCATCGATGCTGCATCGCCATCGATTATAGCTCATGCCAACACGTTGTAGTGCATGGCAGATGTATAGGTCTCTGTGAGCGAGTCCCAATTAGACTAGAACATTTAATTCTTTCCATCGTTGAGACAACCTTGTTGTTACATAAATGTTGTTGTTGACAGTTGCCGCATTGCCGTTGAACGATAAGACGTTGATGGCACAGACAGGTTGATAGGCATAACATGGCTTTGCATTATACTGATCTTGTTCGTAGCCTGCCATATCATTTGTTGTCGTTTCACGTAACTGTGGTACTACATAAAATTTCTTGAGGTATTTTTCTAGCACATGTTGACAAGAAACAACATTCCATACGGCAAGCACATGTGTAAGCCTTGTAGTTGTGTGTTAGAGCAAAATTGTAATTAGTATAGTGCCGCTATGTGCTAAAAGCGTTCGCTTTTACGTGGCTGCAATATGCTTTACGTTATAGTCTCGACATTGCGTTGAGCTTTCGATAGTAACATCGCAAGCAATTTCAATTATAGGAATTTCATATGTCAGCGAACATCTAAAGTTCTGGCGGCGAGCAAATCCAAATTGGCATAGTCAGGTTGAGGTTGAAAGCATTCGTTTGATTCTCGTACGTGCATGAATAAAGGCTAGGGCTTTTCCATATTTAAAACATAATTTCCCAATTCGTAGGTTTCTATGCAATCAGCGGGAAACGCGTACCATGTTCTGCGAATTAACCCCAATTAACCGCCATCAAGCACAACAATTCTCCTCAGCGCAAATAATCACAATTCATGTAAGCGCAGTAAAGCTACCGAATTTTTTAGCATGATTTGTTTAAATATTAAGGTTCCTGCCAAATAGAATGCGACTTGTATTATTTAACGTTTCCCAGAAAAAAAAATCTGTCCTCGTGCTAATTTTAGCAGTGAATATATATGACATTTATATATATATATCATATATATGTATATAAATCTTATATATAATTGTCAAGGTAATGAAATGATCTATTCAGATATGCACATAACTGAATTTGTCAAATTCCCTAAGATTAGTAAGAAAGCAAAGTACACCGCACGCCTGCCCTGTGCACAAACAACATGAATAAGAGAGTCCTCATATTCATGTTATTCATGTTCTCTCTTATTCATGTTCATATTCTCTCTTATTCATGTTGTTTGTGCACAGAGCAGGCGTGCGGTGTACTTGTGTTTGCAGATGAGGCATTGAACGGCATTTACGGGTAATTAGCGGCAATATAGGCGAAATAGAGTAGAGAAACATTAAGACTTTAATTGGTAGTAAATACATTCGTGTTTATTTACCTTTTTTTTTTTATTGAGACGTTTCCAAGTGCCTGTGCTGCTGCTGGTGTTGCGATGGCCTTGCTCGCCCGCGTCACACGCCATATTTTACACGTCGTACGACATCGTGGCTCCATCTCTTTGTGTTTTTAAAAATCTTTTTATAGTTATTGGCGCGTCCCGCTACTGCTGCTGCGATGGCTTGCTCGCCCGCGTACACACATGTTTCCACTTCGTACTAGGTGTCGCTATATAAAATATATTGACCCTACTTGATATTGACCCTAGTATGATATGTACATACATGAGTGTCGAAATGATGGTAAAGTGTACCTTAATCACTTTGCCTGCAGCAGGCCTATACTGAAGTTTTTTTCTTGTATCTATTTTTCTTCATGTTGTATATGCAGCTGCTTTGTACTGTATCACTCAAAATTACCATTTTAACTGCCCAACACTATTGCACTTTTCAATACGTTTTATCTATACAAATGGTGATGTGTGCGAAATATGTTATGTTTGTATGTGGAATAATGGTGTACGAACCGAGTGTCGAATGATGTGCTAAAAGGGTACTATATCTGTACAAATTTGATGAAAGTTTTTTTTTGTGTATTAGTTTTTCTGCGTGTTGTTCTGCATGCTTTGTTACTGTATTCACTGCAGGAAACATCATTTCTACGCGCTAAACATTTTACCGTAATCAGTTTACCTGTACAGAAATGCTGAAGTTTTTTTTCTCGTTTATATTTTTCTTCATGTATCTGTCTCTGTTTTGTATTGTATCACTCAGAAAGCTTCTATTTTTTCTTTTTTTCTTTTTAACTGCTCAACACTTACCTTAATCACTTTACTTGTTATAATATGCTGAAGTTTTTTTGTTTTTTTGTATATATTTTTTCTTTATGCTGTATTTCAATGTTTTGTACTGTAACAATGTATCACTAAGAAATTTTGGGGATCGTGGGTATATATTTGTCTATATTTTATAGTATAGTATGCTACAATGTTATGTTGGACCACAATGGAAATAAGTGTGTTAGCCACGCTTTTTTGTGTTTCATCCTCCGATAATTTCTAGCATGCATTTTTTTGTTTATTTATCGCTGTTAATGGTAATGATGCTTTAGTAATATCGAAATAAATAAATCAAAAAAAAATCAAATACTTATAGGGTCACTGATCTGTCACTGACCCATCTGTATATAGGGACCCTCTTCGTACGACACTCGTGCTCCATCTTCTGGAAGTTTTTTTTTAGCTTTTTAGCATTGTTGATAGGGATTGCGTCTCGCAATAAGTTATGTTGAGTGCATCGTGCTGCACAGCGCGACGGTAGACTACAACTGTAGACGGTAGACGGTAGACGGTAGACGGTAGCTACAAGCGAAGCTAGTGAGTCCGTGAACGGATGTTCGCGGGACGGTAGCGCACACCTGTTATTTTACACCGATTGAGCTGTTAAGTTTAACGTGGACGGACGTGTTTCGCAAGAATAAAGAGAAAGTCGTTTTACAGACATCGACCCCGTCCCATCGATGTCGTTGTCATTAGAGATGGAAACAAAGCTGATTTTGATGCATTTCCATCGCCATTAGTCATTACCGCAAGCGCTCAGTTGCTAATTTTCTTACTATTGATACAGAGGTAAGATAGGCAAAACAATATGTACACAATATACAGCCAAATTGGCACATGTTGTGCAGTTTCCATTGGTTTTCAAAGTGTCCCTGTCTTGGCTCTCACGCGGGGCATTTGTTCTGAGCCGTAGTCCGAGGCACGCACGCCTCCGCCTATAGCTGCAAAGGGGCGAAGCGCCGAGGCAGCCTCGTGTCTTAAAAACGTCTTTTTACAAAGAATTCAATTCCACACCATAATCGCACAAATAAATCAAACTAAAATATACACTAATTGTTCGGGAAATAGCATGGGGTGGGAGGTGTCCGGGGTGATTTGTCGGTGCTCAAAAACAATTTTTTGACAAATGTATTACCTATTTACCCAAACGATGGCGCTGCAGTAGATGATCTGACGTCAACACTTTAGTGCTTTCGTGCGGCAAATGTGGTTATGTTTATATCTGCATTTGCCGCTACATGAAACCTGGTGCTTGTTGTATTTACAAGCCGCTTATTTCAATTTACTCGTTTGACCGCTCAATAACTTCGATAATATGTTGATGAGCGGAACATAATGTACACTAGATCTTGGCGCCTGCTCGTAGTGTACCGGTACTGCTAGTTCCACTTGAAACTGTAAGTCTTATGCCATGGGTGCAAATCCACTTTAGGCACCTGACCTTACTCCTTAGGCTTAGGTATCACGAAGTGATGCACAGATTTTCTGTGTATCATCAACTGATGCACAGACTTTCCGTATATTAAGGAATGATGCAAAAACCCTAACCAGGGCTCGAATTAACCAACGGCGCCGTCGGTGCCCCTATCAATCGCCGTACTGCTCCTGAAAATCCAACCCGACCGACGGCAGTGACCTGCCTTAATTGCCCTTTTCTGTAATTGCCGTCGGTGCCTCTGGCTAGACTGGTTCGCGGCCGCAATGTTTGTCGCAGAGCGTGTACATTGTCTAGCAGAGCTTGAGGCCGGATACAGTCTACCCTTCGGAAAAAACAATAACCGTAAACGTGGCTTGCTGCCAACCGCTGCCAGTAGACGATCGATAAATCGTGCGCCTGTGTATGCCCGTGGTAGAACACGAATATTTAAATGCTGCACGTGGACTCGGCCCGCACGCGATTTAAAGCGCGGAAACGACGCTCGCGCAAGAATGGCCAGCTGTGATCTGTATGGTGTGTAGCTTGCTAAGTGCAGTAAATTTAGAGAAATTTTAGTAGAATTCATATGATGACACAAAGTTTTCCATAACAATGGTCTGGGTTAGGGTTAGGGTTAGGGTTTGGGCTAGTGAAAGTTAGGTCAGGGCTAGTGGTTTTCCTCGGTTACTAGCCCGATGGTCTAGTGAAATAAAAAGTTAACGTTGAACCCTGTTACTGTACTTCCATTAGCAGAGGTTGATGTATTAATTTGTTATAAGTTTTCCTTTATTTTACAAAAGTGCCTTGGTGCCCTTCTCAAATTGTGAGAGTTGCCTTGATGCCTTTTAAAATTGCCTCGGTGCCCATCCATTTTAGAGAAAATTCAAGGCAATTTCTCACATGCCCCAAAAAAATTGCCTTGCCCCTCTCGTCACTTAATTCGAGGCCTGACCCTAACCCTAACCCTAACCCTAACCCTAACCAGTAACCCTAACCCTAACCAGTAACCCTAACCTAACCCTAACCCTAACCTTAACACACTTTGTGATACCTAGCTAAGGGTATACTTTATGACTTAGGGTTAGGGTTAGGGTTTTTGGAATTTTGCATCATTCCTTTATATACGGAGTCTGTGCATCAGTTGATGATACACAGAAATCTGTGCATCACATCGTGATACCTAAGGTGCCTAAAGTGGATTTGCGCTTTTGTAACTTTGCACATTATAAAATAGTAGTTGATATTTTAGTCTATCCTATTAATCCAGGTGGCCATCTTGCATTATCAAACTCTTCAACAAGTGTGATAACAGCACATGATACATTGATACATTGCGTTAGATATCATTATGGCTCTAATACTATAGCCCGTTCGTCTAGACTCCTATCCTTGTTATGAGGAACCTAGTTCTCCTCCTCTAGTCTGATCTGAATTCGCCCAACTCCATTGCTTCCGCTATCTGTATACATTTACGTTCATTATTCATATATTTTATCCTGATCCAATATTTAATTTTACTTTTTGCCTCTCTCTCTTCAAAAGTTGACCATCCCATCTCCCCTCTAATACTCTCCAGTCCCACATAAGAGGGTGCCCCTTGTAACTCCCTTCCCAGCTGGTTTTGAGTCCTGTCTAGTGCTTGGAGCGTGGACGTTCCTTTTTTAACTTTAAATACTAGGGCTTCATTTGTATACGTCAGTGCAGGCACTGCAAGTGCTTTCCAAAGCTCCCTACCCACCCAATATCTATTGAAACTATAATTGAGAATCATGATTTGGGATTTCTTTTCTCCAAAAACCATTCCAAAATTTTCTGCAAAGTCTGCGGCAATGCTCAACATACTTTCCATTTTACTCCTATTTTCTGCTAGCCAAACCACATCATCCGCGTATAACATCCCCGGAAAGCTATTTCCTCCAATGCATAATACATTTGCATTTGTTACGAGCCTAGTAGATAATTCATTGATAAACAATGCGAACAGGATTGGTGATAAAAGGCAACCCTGCTTCAGACCTACTTTAGATGCTATTCAATCCGATTCAAACAGTCCTAAACTTATCTTTGATTTATTGTTCTTGTACATATACTCCACTAGCTTAACGAACCAATTACCCACACCTATTCTTCTTTCTTAGTTCCCTTATTAATTTATTGCTATCCACCCAGTCATAAGCTTTTTTGAAGTCCAAGAATGCAAGGTATAATGGTTTTCTTACATGTTTCGCCTGCTGAATGCATTGGGTTATTATAAATATATTATCCCCCGTGCGCCGATCCGTCCTAAAACCATTCTGTAACTCCCCCAAAATATTAGTTTTCTAACATTTTTTCCAGTCGATCTCTAATAATTCCCATAAATAGAGTGACGCGTGTGGTTTTTTGTTTGTAACGTCACAGGACTGTTCCTTGGTTTTTGATCCATCACGGGAATGCGGGCTACATACGCTATAGGTGCTGCCACCAGTTTATCAGCTCTCAGCATTGCCAGGAGAAAGCTTCCATAGTGCATTGTTGCATAAGCAAATGAGTTGGGTATGAAACGCGCTGATGGTTAGCTAAATGAGGCGTGTTCTGCATCGCACCGCTGGGCACACTACAAGTTGTATAATATCCCTTCTAATTTAAACGCAGAACATGTAGAGCATACTCTGCTACATTATTATTCGTGGTTTCTATTCTGCGCACGATAGACCAGGAACCCCGACTACGACCAGTATGTGGCACAACATATCAATGCCATGTTGTAATGGCGAAATCAGGCCTGGTAAGGTCATCGCACTTTTCATCTCCTGGTGCAAGCCAAGCAGCTGTGAATGTTTGATATACTTAACCCCTTCCTTGGTGTTAGTAGCATGTAGTCTGACACGAACGCATGCAGACATGCGGAAAGATGCCACCGCGTTTGTTAGGGAGGAATGCGTGGAGGCGTACTTGATATCTGAACAATCCGATTATATTTTTCTATAACATATGTCATACTTCCTGAATACGTGTGCAAACGTTGTCTATACACTTGAGCAATTTTTATCTAAATTACCGAGTTGCCGAATACTCCAAAACAAATACACATCTGATCATCTACGCATTTATCTAGCTTTGTGTCTCTGTGTTCCTCTGCGTCTGCCCAGTATAAGCGTGACTGTCATTTTAGTTCCAACAACATCACGCATTCATGATTGCGCCTTTTGAGCGGTTAGCTCTTAACAAAACCTGTTTCCGCGCAACGGAATCCCAACGCAGTTGTCGTTAGCCAAACGCAAATATTTATCCAAGATAAAAGACAAGATTGCGTAGCACAGCGTTGCTGTTGATCGAGAGCGCGCGGATGAGACGCGCAGTTCCGCGGGATATGCGCACGCGACCGCGGGGATGTAGAAGTATGAAGCGCTGTCTGCAGTGGAGACGTGCGCCAAATTGGAGGCCTGGTGCACGTCTCCACAGCGGTCAGCGGATGGTCTGTACTTTTAGAAGATGACAATGATTATATATGGACGATATTGTCGGAATTTGAGATTATAAAACAGTAACAAAAATCGCCGAGTGATGCTCCAGATTAGCTGAATAAAAACGATTAGAATTTAATATCAACAAAACAATTACAATGCTACTATACTACCATTCTGTCCACCACTGACCTCCTCAGTTCTCACTGTTCTCTCTCTACATGTACACATGGTTCACCAGTCACTACTTCTAGACGATCTGCAGCCGGATATCCGCGCGAAGCGCAAACTGCGCTGCGGAGCGGCACTTTTTATCGGATTCGCTGCCCTGTTTAGAACACTGTTTCGACAGTGCCCTTTGGGAAGGGGATAAAGCACTATAATCGGTCAATTGAGGAGTTGTAGCGATTCCACAAGCCTTTCGACTATGCACGTAGGTCGAGAATAAATACAAATGCTCGTAATTGCTCGTTTGCTGGTCGGCGCATTTGCTTTTCCTCTAGAAAAGCGAGTTTGCATTTCTTCCGTTTCACGCCGTGAAATTATTCTCGTACATATGGCGTCCCATAGATGGCGCGACGAGGCCCTGTACGAGGCATTTTCAAGGTATTTTTCCACACAAGGATCGGCCATTGAGCTTAGACTGCTACGCAGTGGAGAGTTCCACACGCTGCACTAACTATAAGTTTAGTGTAGCGAAAGATACTTGGCCGAGTTAAGGTCCGAACCAGTCTACTTGCAATCGTGACGTGCGCTTCAACTTACCGTATCCATCTTAGTACCCCCGATGGTCTGATGTTTCCGATGATGACGTAATAGTTCGAGCATGTATATATAGCAGAGCAGAGTGCATAATAGCATAGCCCTCTGCATAGAGCATAGAGCATAGAGCATATCTTGTTTCGAATTCATACATAGCCATCGATCTTGCATCCATCGATATATCATGCCACACTGTTGTAGTGCATGCAAGTGTAAGGTTCTTCCATGTGAGGAGTCCAAAGCTAGAAACATTTAATTCTTTCCATAGTTGAGACAACCTTGTTGTTACATAATGTTGTTGTTGACAGTTGCCATTGCCGTTGAACGATAGACGTTATGACCAGGACAGGTGATAGCATAACATGGTGTTCATTATACTGTCTTGTCGGTCCTGCATATCATGTGTGTCGTTTCACGTAACTGTGTACTACATAAAATTCTGAGGTATTTCTACATGTTGACAAAGAAAACAACCTTCATACGGCACACATGTGTAAGCCTTGTATTGTGTGTTAGAGCAAATAATTGTAATTAGTATAGTGCCGCTAGTGCTAAAGCGTTCGCTTTTACAGTGGCTGCAATATGCTTACGTTATAGTCTCGACCAATTGCTTTGACTTTCGATAGTAACATCGCAAGCAATATCCAATATAGAATTTCATATGTCAGCGAATTCTATTCTTCGCACAAATCCAAATTGGCATTAGTCAGTTGAGGTTGAAAGCATTCTGTTGATTTCTCGTACGTGCATGAATAAAGGCTAGGGCTTTTCATATTTAAAACATAATTTCCCAAATTCGGTAGGTTTATGCAATTCAGCGGAAAACGCGTACATGTTCTGCGAATTAACCCCCAATAACCGCCAATAAGCCACAACAATTCTCCGCGCAATATCACAATTCATTAAGGCAGTATAACTACCAATTTTTTAGATGATTTGTTTAAATATTAAGGTTTCCTGCAAATAAATGCGACTGTATTATTTACGTTTCCCAGATCTTCCCTTCGTCTAATTTTAGCAGTGAATATATATGACATTATATATATATATC